TGTATATCTACAGTTCCTTCTTCTACCTTTTCACGAATAAAGTGGTACTGAACTCGTATGTGTTTTGTCCTTGAATGAAATGATGGATTCCTTGCTAGATGCAAGGTGCTTTGAATGTCACAAAACAGAAAGACATACTCTTGATTGTGCCCAAGCTTCTCCAATAGCATCTTCAACCAAATTGCTTCTTTACTAGTTTGTGTAACTACTACATATTTTGCATATGTTGTGGATGTAGCCACAACTGACTGTAATTTTGAAACCCAGCTTACAACTCCACCAGTAACTTTGAACACATATCATGTAGTAGATTTGCTTTTATCCAAATCTCCTGCATAGTCAGAATCTATATACCCATTGATTAGTAAGTTTGATCCTCCGTAAAATAATGCAACATTTGAGGTCCCTTTAATGTATCTCAGGATCCTCTTTACTGTATTTCAATGCTCTTTGCCTGGATTCGCCATGTACCGACTAACCACTCCCACTGCTTGTGCAATGTCTGGTCTTGTGCATATCATAACGAACATTAAACTTCCCACTACTGATGCATACGATACTCGAGACATCTCCATCCTCTCTTCTTCACTACTAGGACTTGTATTGGAGGATAATTTGAAGTTAATAGGAAGAGAGGTAGAAATTGGCTTATAATCTTTCATGTTGAATCGTGACAAGATATTATTCAAGTAATTCTTTTGTGAAAGTAAAATATTCCTATTACTTTTGTTTCGGTAAATTTGCATCCCTAGAATCTTGTTTGCTGATACCAAGTCCTTCATTTTAAATTTCCTAGCCAGATGTGCCTTTAATTCTTCAATATGATCTTTGTTGGGTCCTGCAACCAACATGTCATCCACATACAACATCAATATAACAAAATCATTATCAACATACCTCTTGAAATAAGCACAAGGGTCTGCATTAAGTCTGTTGTATCCAAGACACATAATGAAGGAATCAAATCTCTTATACCAACACCTCGGCGCCTACTTTAAACCGTACAGAGATTTGTTCAACCTACATACCAAGTTCTTCTTTTCTTTTTCTTCAAAACCTTCAGGCTAAAGCATGTAAATCTATTCTTCAAGATTTCCATGAAGAAAAACTGTTTTAACATCTAGCTGCTCTAGATGTAAGTTCAATGTAGCACACATTGTCAAAACTACTCGAACTGTTATTAGTCGAACCATATGAGAAAAGATTTCATTGAAATCAATACCTTATTTTTTAGCATATCATTTGACCACCAGTCTTGCATGATACCTCTCAACTTGATCGTCATCATTTCGCTTGATTTTGAAGACCCATTTGTTACCAATTGGCTTTCTTCCTTGTGGTAGTGACATAGGGTCCCATGTATTATTTTTATGAAGGGCTTCAATTTCTTCTTACATTGTCATCATCCACAGTGAAGCATCTGAGCTGTTTATTGCCTCCTGGTATGTTGATGACTCACCGTCCTCTATTAATAATATTACCTTCTATAACATAATATGAGTGCCAATTAGGACGTCTTCTCACACGATCTGATTGACGAGTTGTTGGAGCAGCTTCAAAACTCTCTAGTTCTTGTTCATCATGTGTTGGTTCTGCTTCAGAATAATCTCCTTGTTCAAACTCCTTTTCCATATGTATCTGAGTAGTCTCTTACTTTTCAATGTTATCATTATCTTCTTTTCTTTGTAGTTTATCTTCTACAAAGATAACATCCCTGATGATGATCATTTTGCGGGCAGTGAGATCCCACAAGTGAAACCCCTTTACACCATCAGCATACCACAAGAATTTGCATTTCCTGGATTTTGGATCCAACTTTGAAATTTCTTGGGAGTTGTACATCACGTACACTATACTTCCAAATACATGGAGGTTTGAAAAATCAGCTGGTTTACCAGTCCACATCTCCATTGGTGTCTTTAGCTTTATTGCAGTTGATGGAGCTCGATTCACCAAATAACATGCGGTATTAACTGCTTCTGCTCAGAATGATTTTTCTAGGCCTGCATCCCTCAATATTGCTCTTGTTCTTTCTAACAAGGTTATGTTCATCTGCTCTGCCACTCCATTTTGTTGAGGAGTGTTCGCCACTATGAACTGTCTTTTGATGCCTTCTTTCCTGTAAAATTAATCAAATTCTTAACTTGTGTATTCTTCTCTATTATTTGTTCTGAAACACTTGATCTTATTTCCAGAATCAAGTTCCACCTGCGCTTTGAAGTTTTGGAAAGTTGAAAACACATCTGACTTCTTCTTAATAGGTACACCCAACATCTACTAGAGTAGTCATCAATAAATGAGACAAAGTATTTTGCTCCACCTAGGGATGTAACTGCTGCTTGCCATATGTCAGAATAAACCAATTCTAGAATACTTTTGTCTCTAGAATTTGACGTGTTGAATTTCAACTGGTGCTGCTTACTTGTTATACAATACTCACACAAAGTAAGTGATACATTTGTTAAGCCTGGAAGTAGCTTTTGCTCCACAAGGACTTTCATTCCTTGTTCTGACATATGTCCAAGTTTCTGATGCCATAGCATTATAGAATCTGAACTACATGAGGCAACATAGGCTTCTACTTCTAGCAAAGTCTCTCCCTTCAGCATGTACAAGTTTGCTGCTATATTTTCGCCTTTCATCACCACAAGCGCTCCATGGAACACCTTCATGATTCATTTCCGTGTTTCAATCTTGCTTGCATTATTATCCAACAATTCGTAGGATAATAAATTTTTCTTCAGGCCTTTCACGTGCCACACATCTTGAACAACTTTAATTGTTCCATCATACATCGTCAATTTGATGGTCCCCACGCCAATGATCTTTAAGGCATGATCATTGCAACTATACACAGATCCTCCTGAGACAAGTTCATAATGATGAAACCATTCTCTTCTTGATGTCATGTGATATGTTACTCCCAAATCAATGAGTCATATATCTGTAAATCTTTTTATGTCTTCCACGGTGGTTGACGCTTCACAACATAGACCATCTCCATCATCTGAAGTGTTCGCGGTATTGCCTTGTGGATTGGAGTTTTTATTTAGACTCCATCAATCCTTCTTTAAGTGACTATTCTTTCCACAATTATAGCACTTTAAATTCTTCTTGCTTCTCGACTTTGATATACCATGTTTGTGACTGCTGCTTTGGCCACGTTCTGTTAATCTCCCTCTCATCATTGTCAACGCTTCTGCTTGTTGGAGATTTACTTGTCTGTCTTCCTTATTCTTGCGCCGATTTCCTTCTTGTAGAACAACAGCTGCAACGTCATTGAAGACTAGACTGGTGACATTACTGTTTGTCAAGCTGATGATGAGTTGATCATACGAATCAAGTAGACTTTGAAGTAGAATTTCAGCACGTTCTTCTTCTCCTATTGTACATCTTAAGGATGTAAGCTGAGAAAATAAAGTGTTCAGCGTGTTTAAGTGTTCTGTCACTGAAGTAGATTCTGGCATACGGAGAGTGTACAATTTCCTCTTAAGGAAATTTTTATTGTGCAACGATGTGGCCTCGTACAATTTGGTGAGATGATCCAATATCTCCTTAGTTGTATTCTTCTCCTCGATGCTTGACAATACTTCATATGCTAATGCTAGATGAAAGTTTGTCATAGTATTCCCATCCATTTTGATCCATTTGTTGTCATCTGTAAAATCTATCAACCTTTCATTGATAGCTGTTAGACAACCGTCTTTCCTCATGATGACATTCATCTTCAATTTTCACAATGAGAAATTTCTCCCATTGAATTTTTTAATATCAAATTTCATTGCCATAGCTTCTATTACGGATAGCTCACACTATTTCACCATCGTGAATATTTTTCTAGAACCTTCAAAGAATGGGTAATACATTCTTACTTTCTTATGTTGGAGGATCAACCTTTTGGTGGCAACCACAAAGACAATAAGTAGATATTACACACTCTAATCTGGCTCTGATACCAATTGTTGCTGAAGACGGCTATCGGATAGAACAAAATCGCAAGTGATAATTTGAGAAAATAAAAATAAAGATAAAAAGACACAAAATTTACGTGGAAAACCCCTAAATAATATAGGGTAAAAACCACGGGCAACGGTAGAAGAATTTCACTATGAGAAAATAGGAATTACAACATCTCTTGATCTACTAAGGACAAAACAATGATATTGATAAAAAAGGAGAAAACAACTCTCAAGAAATTCTCTAGTGTTGGGAGAAAACTAGAATGATTTAGGATGATTTTGATGCTAAATGGGATAGGGTATTTATAGTTGAAGTTTGAGGATTAATCTTGTAAATATCCTAAAGTCTAGGTACTAAATGTTGTAATTTACCCATTTAATTTTCAACCATTGTTGCACCTAATTTTGACATTGTATATTCGGTGCCTAACTTAGTGCCTAATTTGGACCAATTTTCAACCGCCCAAAGCAGCCACATATGCTGCCATTATAGAAAAATAGCTGCCCATGCTTTGACATTTCAACTTGTTTTTTTAAACTTTTTTTGCCAAATTTTATTCAGGCAATTAATAAAAGTCTATCATCTTTAGCCAATGTTATATTTGCATCGGAAAAAAAGGAGGATCACGTATCGTTTAGGAACTCAAAGGTTACTTATCTTCTTTAGGTGAATCTATGTACACATGCAGTTCGTTGCCTACGGAAAACATGGTGTTCATACGTCCATGATATACAGGGCCGGTCCAATGAGTTTTAATGCTCTGGGCGAGATAATAATTTTATGCCCCTATACTTGTATCATATAATATACAAAACATAAATATTTTTTTAAAACAAAAATGTAATAGAAAAGTGATTTTTTGGGCTAATTTTTGGGCCAAATATATATATACACACTATAAGCACTAGAAAACTGATGCCCCTCAAACATGTTGCCCTGGGCTAAGGCCCATCTGGCACATGTATTGGGTCGGGCCTGATGATATATCATATAGTAGGGTCTTCATCTGACATTTTTCTTAATCCCATGGTTAACCGCAGCCGTGTCTGGGAGGAGACTCAAAGACTCTGATGTTCGTAAATATATCTTCGAAGCCATCCTCAACAGGTGAATCCCTCTGCTCGTTACGTTTCGCAGCCAGGGTTAATGCTTGTGAGATAGGGACTCCACGATGGCAACTCAACATGAAGGCTTCAGATTATCGTCTAAGCTATGGCTGATCTTTCTTTTGTGTTGCTTTACCTAAATCTATGTTTTGCTAGTAGTAGTAGATTGAAAAAATTGAGTGGTTCTAACATAAAAGCGAGGTGTAATCTGTATAATTGATCATTGCACTTGTATTTTGTTTAGTTGTTCCTGTGTTACTTGATTTCTTCAACATTCCCACATATTACGTTAAATACAACATTGGAATCACATTATTTATTATTATTTCTTTCAACTTTTATGCTCGAATGAGAGACTTTGTTTGTACAAGTGTTTGGTGTAACACCCCAACCCGTACCCGACCCGAATACGAGTCCGAGGTGTCACATTGACTTTTCAAATCTGGACACTTAAAGAAAATACCCCGGGTAATTTAAAACTTTGTTTAAAACAAAATACTTTAATTTACATCAGAGAGACCACAAAATACAAGTTTGATCAGAGTATTCATAATTAACGACTTATTACATGCCAACACTCTATACACGCCAAAATACATACTTGTTGATTACTTCTGATATGATCTTCAAGTAATAATACTGTCCTTGCTACTTCTATTCTTGCTCTTCACGTTTCTTGGTACCTACGTGTAAATCACTTACACGCTAAGTCATAGACTTAGTGAGGCAATAAATAAACATTTAACAACAAATTCATGAATGTGCATTCTTATCATTTGATCATGACATTTCAACATGCATGTATCTATCACATGATAACATATATAAGCATGTCAAGCACATGTAACACTTACCTTCTTGTGCCACTTTCACTTTAATTTATCTTTCAATTGTATTGCCCATGTATATCATTGAGAATAGAGGTATGCGAGTTCATTGAGGTTGTGCACAAATGCTGTCACCACAGCTCGTATAAATTCCCTCATGGGGCACCGAACATTAGTTCAGTATTCGTCCCGAAGGACTGCTATATATGTCCCGTAGGACCACTACGTCCCGAAGGACTACGTCCCGAAGGACTACGTCCCGAAGGACTACAGAACCCTCGACTTTTGGCATGCCAACTATACATATAGCTCTCATATCATATACTATGGGCATTTATGATGAATACATTTCTCATCACTTGTTCTTTCTCTTCTGTCACATACCACATGTATGTGTAACCATGTATTTCATATCATATCACATGTATCACATTTTGTATATTCATATGTTATTTCATATATTCACATAGTTTTTCTCATTTCACATGGTCATGTCTCATAGCATAATCATGTATGCATGTATATCATGTAACATTTATAATAATCTATACACATTTCATGTATTCATGCACATATAAAAATCATGAAATCAAATAACAATTTAGGAGTCACTTCTTACCGTAGTAACTCCATCACTGGCTCATCGCAAGCCAATGTTCGTTCAATAATATAAGTACAATAAAAAATTGCACTCACCTTAGCCTTGTTTGATTTGAATCAATTCTAATCCTTTGATTATTCCAGAACTTGTTTAGGCTCAATATCTACATAAATATAACATTTCAAAACAACTATCAAAAGCCTAAACCTTAAAACTTGATGTTAACAACTTAAGCCAGATTATTGAACCTAATTTCATTTTTCCTTTAGGGGGGAATCGATTCCCCCCCCCCCAGGGGAATCGATACCCCTTGGACATTCTGGAAAAATTTCGTCCAAGAGGGGGAATCGATTCCCTTCATAGGGTATCGGTTCCCTCTAACCAGAATTGGTATTTTAACCCCGAAAATCATTAATTCTTCACTTAATTCTTCTATTTTAAACCCCTATCATGTCATTAAATTCAACTACCATCACTTAAACCAACTTATATCCATGAAAATCATCTATAACTTCAAAATCCTATCCTTCATATGAAATTCAAGAATCATACTCAAATTTCAATATGTTCTAAATACAATTCTAACACTTCATATTCCTTAATTAGGATGATGACAAGTCAAATTTAACTTTAAATTCAACTTATCAACTCTTTTCCATGATTTCATATAAAAACTCATTTTTTTTAATCTCTTATAACTTCTTCATCTTTTGATTATAAGACAACTTAAGCTTTCCTTAAGCTTAGTTATCATCTAATGATCAAAACCTAATCTTTAATTTAACAAATAACCAACAATTTAGAAAACCTTACCTTTGCCCTGCACGTTGGAGAAGAAGAAAGGAAGAAGAAAGAGTTTTCAGAAACTCTTTCCCCAACTCACGTTTATCTCTTAATAAAGAGATAAAAAATATCTTTCATGCTAAATGACCATTTTGCCCTTTAATTCCTTTGATAATTACTAATAACTTTCAAGAAATATTTCCGAACAAATCATTGGACTGTACAAATATCCTACTTAAATCACCAAACTCTGAAATTTTACAATTTAGTCACTAACCCGTATTTTGGGATGTTACAAATCTCTCCCCCTTAAGAAAATTCGTCCTCGAATTTTCATTGTTCAAGAGATGGGGATATTGAATCTTCATGTCCTCTTCGCGTTCCCACGTAGCTTCTTCCACCTTGTGATTTCTCCATAACACTTTGACTAATGGAATAGTCTTGTTCCTTAATTGCTTGACTTCATTAGCCAATATTTGAACAGGTTCTTCCTCATAAGTCAAATCTGATTGAACTTCGATCTCTTCAGTAGTCACAATATGAGATGGATCGGATCGATATTTCCTCAGCATGGAGACATGAAAGACGTTATGGATTTTCTCCATTTCAGGTGGCAAAGCCAATTGATATGCCACTGGTCCTACTCTCTTAAAGATTTCATATGGTCCAATGAACCGAGGACTCAATTTTCCTTTACGTCCAAATCTCAATACTTTCTTCCACGGAGACACTTTCAAGAACACTTTATCTCCGATTTGAAACTCAATTTCTTTCCTTTTTAAATCGGCATATGATTTCTGTCTATCAGCTGCAGCTTTCAGATTATTCTGAATGACTTGAACTTTCTCTTCCGTATCCTGAATCAACTCAGGACCAATAACCTCTCGATCCTTAAGTTCATACCAGTTCAAGGGTGTACGACATCTTCTTCCATATAAAGCTTCATATGGAGCCATTTTGATGCTTGACTGATAACTATTGTTATACGTAAATTCAGCAAGTGGCAAATACCTTTCCCATGATCCTTTGAATTCAATTACACAAGCTCTTAGCATATCCTCCAGAATTTGGATAGTTCGTTCAGACTGACCATCTGTCTGAGGATGAAATGCTGTGCTAAAATTCAGTCGTGTGCCCAATGATCCATGTAAAGACTTCCAAAATCGTGACGTGAATCTAGGATCCCGATCAGAAATTATGGAAACAGGTACACCATGTAACCGTATAATCTCTCTAATATACAACTCAGCATATTTATCCATAGAAAAATCAGTTCGTACCAGAATAAAATGGGCTGACTTAGTTAACCTGTCTACAATCACCCATATTGAATCTCTTTTGTTCGGATTTAAAGGCAACCCCATGACAAAATCCATCGTTACATTCTCCCATTTCCATTGAGGAATTGAAATTGATTGTAATAGTCCCGACGGAACCTGATGCTCAGCCTTAACTTGCTGACAAATCAAACATTTAGATACGAATTCTGTAATGTCTTTCTTCATTCCCGGCCACCAATATCGACTCTTGAGATCCATATACATTTTGTTCCCTCCCGGATGCATTGTCAATGGACTACAATGAGCTTCCGTTAACAAATCATTCTTTAATTCATCATCATCCGGAATTACCAATCTCTCTCGATAATACAAGTTCTCATCAGACTTGATTTCATAATCTGTACTCTCTCCATTATTTATTTGCTGCAACTTCTTTGAACTTTTTTCATCTTTTTCCTGCAATCCTTTAATTCGATCTAACCATGTTGATAGTCAATTCTGCACAAATTGCACCATCACCGCTTAATGATAATTTAGCATCCATAGCTCGTAAAGCTACAAACGTTTTTCGACTTAAGGCATCCGCTACCACATTTGCCTTTCCAGGATGGAAATCAATCACAACATCATAATCTTTGAGAAATTCCACCCATCTTCTCTGTCTTAAATTCAACTCTTTCTGAGTCATCAAGTACTTTAAACTTTTGTGATCCGTATACAGGTAGCATTTTTCACCATACAAGTAGTGACGCCAGATCTTTAGAGCGAACACTACTGCAGCCATCTCCAAATCGTGTGTCGGATAATTCTTCTCATGAGGTTTTAATTGCCTCGAAGCGTAGGCCACCACCTTGCCTTCTTGCATTAACACGCATCCCAAGCCATTATGAGACGCATCACTATACACTACAAAGTCCTTGCTAGACTCAGGTTGGACTAACACTGGAGCTTCTGTCAAAATATTCTTTAACTTTTCAAAACTCTCTTGACATTCTTGAGTCCAAACAAATTTTATTTCCTTTTTCAACAGCTTAGTTAGAGGTAAAGCTATAATCGAAAAGTTTTTAACGAACCTTCGATAATAACCAGCTAACCCCAGAAAACTTCGAACTTCTGATACATTCTTTGGAACTTCCCACTCCAGAATAGCTTTAATCTTTTGAGGATCCACTCGAACTCCTTTTGCAGAAATTACATGTCCAAGGAATGTCACTTCATTCAACCAGAATTCACATTTAGAGAATTTAGCATAAAGCTTCTTGTCTCGTAAATTTTGCAAGACAATCCTCAAATGAGAACTATGCTCTTCCTCTGACTTTGAATATATTAAAATATCATCAATGAAAACCACCACGAACTGATCCAAATAGGGTTGAAAAATTCTGTTCATTAAATCCATGAAAGCAGCTGGTGCATTCGTAACTCCAAACGGCATCACTATAAACTCATAGTGACCATATCTTGTTCTAAATGCCGTCTTTGGAACATCTTTCTCTTGAATATTTAATTGATGATAACCCGAACGCAAATCGATTTTTGAGAACACTGAAGCTTCCTTTAATTGATCAAATAAATCGTCGATTCGGGGAAGTGGATACTTGTTCTTGATGGTTACTTTATTGAGTTGTCTGTAATCGATACAAAGATGCATTGATCCATCTTTCTTCTTAACAAATAGAACTGGAGCTCCCCAAGGTGATACACTTGGTCTAATAAAACCTTTGTCCAGTAATTCTTGTAATTGAATCTTTAATTCTTGCAACTCTTTTGGAGCCATCCTATATGGTGACATGGCAATGGGCGCTGTTCCCGGCATTATCTCAATCTGAAATTCTACCTCTCTGTCCG